ATTAGTTTTTCGATGTTCCTTCAATTTCACTCGAAAATGCGCATTTTCCGGATTCAAAAATTCTTTTTAGGTTTAGAGGCGTAACAATTCGATGTTGCAATACTATTCAGGATGTTTTTAGACTAAGGTAGGCCATGTAAATCTAGTAATTTGGTTGACAACCAATTTAATATCTGCAAAGATCCCTACTGAAAAATGAAATTTATCTTCTTTGTCAATGAATCAGTTTAACCAACGTGAAAAAAAAATGCATGGTCCACTTTTGTCTAAAAACATCCTGAACGTTTTAAGTAGGATTTATAAACTTGCTGTTGACGTAATAGTTTAACGACATTGATTACAGGGAATTTACTCTATAGTTGAACGCAAAGTGCCATAAATAACACGCCCGCAGCCCCTGTGCCATGAGGGCGCAAATTTAAAGCAAATCTCCCTCTCAGTTAATAATAATATGCTTAACTTCGTGTGTTTATGTTATACAGCCAAAGAATGTAGAACGTAGAAATTTGTTTGATTTGAATGAATTTGTCTCCTCAAAACAGAGGACTAAAATTATGAATTAAGTGGCAATTGAACAAAATCTTATTATAATTTATATATTATCATTATTACTTTTAAAATTAGATTATGCAACCAAATATACATCTCGTATCATTCCATTGCTGTGTCTCAGTCTCCCAAATCCAAAATTGACAAATTGAAAGTAGGATTTATAAACATAAACTTCCTGTTGAGGTTGAAATTCCCTTGTAGTTGCTGTTCCCGCTGACGTTGATTTTAGACCTGAAAATTGTCATTAAATTTGTTCAACTTTTGCCGTATTTAAAGGGGTTGTAGAAGAAAAGTGGAGGACTTAAATCGATTACTACAAAGATTTACCATTTCAGGCATATTTTATGTTTCTTGTTGTCGAAATAAGTCTACATATATTAAGAAAAAAAAGGCAAAATATAACCCCGCCCACCCGCCCTATCTCAATTGTGATGATTTTTTATTCATAGTGAGCCAAGAGGACGGAGCTTAACTACAAAATCCTTATTTCTCAACGAGAAATTACCATGTGAAACATGATCTTACATAATCGTGTTATACAAAGAAACCTAAATGTATTAATTAAAAAAGAAAACCAAAAGAGAAGCCCCACCCATCCGTCTCGATCTCAATCGTGAAGAATTTTTCATTCGTTGTCTGACCGAGGGGCGGAGCGTAACTGCAAAATCGGTATTTACCTGTACAAATTTACCATTTTAAACATGTTTTAAGTTTTTTGTTGTGATAAGATGACCATACATATTGTTATGAAATACACCTTTACATCGCCCCGGTACGACGCCAATGGTCATCGAAAACTCTCTGGTCTTATCCCGATGATGATTCATCCTCAATGCGCTAAAGAAACGCCTGGAAACGGATGAGTCTAGAGGAAGGGATTATTTCGCCGGAATAATGTTTGTACATAATCGGTGCAATAGTTAGTCGTGTAAATTATACTTAGTAAGAAATAAACTGTTGAGTTTAACCCACGCCGATTTTATTCGCCCGATCATCGTAACACTGGTGTCAGAAGTGGGATCTGAAATTAATAAACGGTTTTATTACGATGACATCCGGGCAGATCGGACAAGAACTCTGACGAATTTATGCCTGTCGAGACGAGAGCTCAAGCTGCGAAAATGGAGGAAAAGATCATGGCTATGCTTGCAGAAATGGGGGCAAGAATGGGAAAAATTGACGAGAAAATGGACGCAAAAAACAAAGAAATGGACGAGAAAATGGACACAAGAATGGAAAAAATGGATGCGAGACGCGAACAAATGTACGCGAAAATGGAAAAAATGGACGACAAAATGAATGGAAATAAGAAACAAAGAAATGAACGTGAAAATAGACGCAAGAATGGAAAAGATGGGCGAAAAAATAGACAAGCAAAAGGATGACATAATCACCAGCCTAAGTGAAAAATTCCAAAACGAAGTGGAATGAAACGGAAGAGAGAAATTTTTGGTGGGGATAGATAATATCTTTTTTAGTTTTTTGATTTTTCGATTTGTTGTTTTGATTGCTCGATTTTTTAAATTTTCAATTTTTCTAATTTTTAAATTTTACATTTTTCACTTTTTTGTTGTTTCGTTTTCTCAATCTTTCTATTTTTGCCCTCTCGTTTTTATATTTTTCGATTTTTCGGAATTGATCTTTCAATGTTTTGATATTTAGATTTTTCAATCGAGTAAGTAAAAACCAAAAATACAGAAAGTCGAAAAATCTAAAAATTTAAAAATCGAAATCTTGAAAAATCCCAAAACTTAAATAGAGAAATCAAAAAATCGGAAAATTAAAAAACTGATTAATGGAGAAACTGAGAAATCGAAAAATTTTGAATCGCCAAAAATTGAAATACATATGTACATAAATCTCAAAACTGAAACGTCGAAAAATTGGAAACTCGAATAATCGAAAATTTTTTCGAAAATCGAAAAACTGAGAAATCGAAACATCAAAAATACGGTAAGTCGAGAAGTCGAAAAATTGAGATATCGAAATACCCAAAGATCGAAGAATGGGAAAATTCAAAATTGAAGAGTTTTAAATTAAAAAACCTGATAAATTGAAAAATTGAAATATTGAAAAACTGAAAAATTAATTCCGAAAAATTGAAAAATCGAAATAATAAGTGAATTTAAAATCAAAAAATTGAAAATTTACAAAATCCAGAAATCAAAACATCAATGAATCGAAAAACCAAAAAAATTGAAAAATCCAATAATAAAGCAAAAAAACAAAAAAAAATATAAAACCTTAAAAATCGAACTACATAGTGAAAAATCCCAAAACTTACACATTGAGAATTATTAAAAATCGAGAAATTGAGAAATTGAAAAATCTAAAAATTTCGAAACGCCAAAAAATCGAAACATTTAATTACTTAAATCCCAAAACTGAAACGTTGAAAAATTGGAAAATCGAAAAGATGAATTATCAAAAAATGAAAAATTCAAGAATTCAAAAATCTAAAATTCAAAAGTCGAAACATCGAAAACCCGAGAAATCAAAAATCTTAAATTTAAAAAATTGAAAAATAGCGAAAAATTGTAAATCAAGAAATCGAAAGATCAAAAAACCAAAAAATACAAAAATCCAAAATTTAAAAATCGAAAAACCAAGAAATCGAAAATCCAAAATATAAACATCGGAAAATTGAAGAGTTGGAACTTGAAAAATCGTGAAATTGAAACATGCCAAAACTGAAATAACGAAAAATTGGGGCACTGAAAAATTGAGAAACCGAAAAATTGGAAAATCGAAATATTGAGGAATGGAAATAGGCCAAGATCGAAATCCAAAGAATTGAAAAATTTGAAATTAAAAAGAAAAACGAAACATCGAAAAATCGAAAAATTGATAAATCTAAAATTTAAAAATCGAAAAATTGAAATAAAGGAAAATTCAAGACTCAAAAATCTGAAAAATCGAGGAATTGGAACATTTCAAAGCAGAAATGACAAAAAATTGTAAAATTAAAAATTCGAAAATTACAAGTTAAAAAAAATCAAAAAATGTGTAACCGAGAAGTCGAAAAGTCGAAAAATTGAAGGACGGAAATATGGAAAAATCCCAAAACTGATATTTCGAAAAATTAAAAATGGAAGAAAAATTGAAAAATCCCCAAAGTGAAACATCGAAAAAGTGAAAAATCAAGAAATCGAAATATTGAAAATTTAAAACATCGAAAAATTGAAAAATCAAAAACCTGAAAAACAAAATAATTGGAAAGCCGAAAAACTGGCAAATCGTAAAACTGAAACATCGGAAAATTGAGAAATTCTAGAAATCGAGAAGTCTAAAATAAAAAAAAAGTTGAAAAATTTTAACTTACAAAACCCGATAAACCAAAAAGTGAAAAATCGAAAACCTGAAAAATTAATTCCAAAAAATTGAAAAACCGGAAAATCTAAAAACAAGACGGCAAAAAATTCAAATACTGAGAAATCGAAACAAAAAAACGAAAAATTGAAAACTGAACAAATTAAGCAATCAAAACATCAACAAATTCAAAAATTAAAAATCGAAAAATGTAAGAATTAAAAAAATTGCAAAATTTTGTAAAATCGAATTAGTAAAAAATCTAAAAATGAGAAGTCAAAAATTCGAAACAACAAAAAAGTGAAAAAGCTAAAATTTAAAAATTAGAAAAATTGAAAATTTACAAAATCGAGAAATCAGAAAATATAAGATTTAAAAAACAGCATTTTTTTTAATCGAAAAAGTAAAAAATAAAAAACAAAGTCCAAAAATTTAAAAATACATATTGAAAAATCCCAAAACTTAAACATTAAAAATTTGAAAATCGAAAAACTGAGAAATGGGAAAGACCAAAACTTGAAAAGTCGAAAAGTTAAAAATCCCATTAAGAAATGGAGGTGGCTAAAAATCCAAAAATAGGAAAATTCAAAATTGAAAAATTTTTAACTTAAAAAAAAAACGATAAACCAAAAAGTGAAAAACCGAAACATCGAGAAATTGAAAAATTAATTCAGAAGAATTGAAAAACCGGAAAATCGAAAAACAAGAAGGCGAAAAATCAAGAAACCTAAAAACGGGAGAGCAAAAATCGAAGCAACAAAAAAGTGAAAAATCTCAAATTTAAAAATTCGAAAAATTGAAAATTTAATCAACAAATCGAAAAATAAAAAAACTGAGAAATTCCAAAATACGTAAGATTTAAAATCACAATATGTATTTTGAAAAATCATAAACACGTAAAGTCTAAAAATTTAAAATTCGGAGTATTTAAAAGTCCCAAAATTGAAATAGATAGAAGATTAATTATTTTCGAATTTCTCAGTTACAGTCACTTACCACACGAGCACTGTCTGATTTAATTTTCTTGAGGTACTGCACCGTACGTAAACAATGTCGTGACGTTTAATTTGTCCATTCGTGTACATTGTAGGGTAAACATGCGAAAAATGATAGACATGAATAAATAACTAGTCGTCAAGCTCTATTCAGACTTTATTAAATAAAAACCAAGTGATGTGTCCGTCATTGAGCAGCTGCTTGTTTGAAACCAGAACGAAAGTTGTACACAAGAAACACAAAATAAATCCAAAGCAATTCACAAACATGAAAAATTTAGCAATGACGTGTCGAACTCGCGTACGAAAAACTCTCGAAAAATCGTAGAAAATAGTAAAAGTCACATCGCCACATGCAACACCTATATAACAACCAGTACGCGAATCCGACACCCTCGTAAAAACACAGTTGATTTTTAAAATAATTATATTAATTTACTCAAACAAAATACAACTTTTGTTAGTAAACAACTCAAATCGTATCTCTATCGGGGAAAATATTCACAAGCAAGAAAATTCAGTTACAACATGCCGAAGCCCTTCGAATAACTGATCGCTTTGATCAGCCGGTCTTTGAGTTTGTCTTTCGAGGAGTACTCCGGTAATAACAGAACGTTGAAGCAGGTGTGGGCCGTGGGGAGGCGGTCCGAGTCGGGGCCGTTCCTCGCGATGACCAGCTTGAGCCTGCTTAAGCCGCCGATGGGGACTCGGTCGGAGCCCGTGGTGAATTGGAGGAGTTTTCGTTTGTCTTCTAACGAGAGAGCGTGCACTGTCGACCAGAAGTCTTTGATTATCTGGCTCTCGGTGGTGTAGCCGCCGTCGTATTCGGTCGAACTTTCCAGTTCGTCGAAGTCGAAGTTCTGGAAACGAGAAAATTCGCAGACACGAACTGGCCGGAAAAACACTTACTTTGCTGCCGCAGATCAGGACTTCGATTTCCTCGGGACGGAAGAGTAATTCGAGGGGGGACTCGTCTACGACCATTTGGAACCCTTTGTAGAAGGCACGGAACTGCTTCTCCACGGATTTGTTCAGGAGGAAGTCTGCGTATAAATCGACGAATTCCTGGAGGAATCGGCACCCTCGGTACTATATATCTGTATATAAATTCGATTCGGGTACTTACGTATTTGTTTTCTTGAGTGACGGTGATTTCGTCACCGTTTTCTTTTAAATCGTAATTTATAATAGAGCCGAACACATCCTGGTAGCTAATGCGGAACGTTTGCATGAACACCTCCTCGACGTCGGGTTCGTTATATTCCAATAATTGTTTTAAACTATTATATAAAGTCTGGAACAAAGTTTGTTTATAATAAAGTTGAAAAAAAATCCAACTTATTTTTTAACTTGGATTCTTTCGTAAAAAAAAAACAGATAAATAAATTGTGGTAGATCCACTAAATTTGGTGGTGCTTTAAAAATCGGTCGAATGTTATTTCGACAGAACTTCCCTCGCTCCTGAATACCGTAAAAATTGAAATATCGATAAATCAAACAACTGAAAAAGTCAAAAATCAAAAAATCGAGCAATATCGAAAAATTCGAAAAATCCAGAAATTGAAAAAACGTGAAATTACAAAAAGTCTAAACATTGGAAACTCAAAAAACTCAACTCGAAAAATCTAGAAATTGGAAATTCAAAGAATCGAAAAATAAAAAAATTCAAAACTCTAAAATTTAAAAGTCGAAAAATCGAAAAATTGAAGAATCGAAAATTTGAAAACTCCCACGAAAAATTGGGAAATTGAAAAATTGAAAACCCGAGAAATCAAAGACCTAAAATTTAAAAAATCCAAAAAAAAAAAACTGAAATGACGAAAAATTGGAAAATGAATAGAAAAGTATCAAATAAAAAAAGTCAAAGAATTGAAAAATCGAAAAATGTACGACCGAGAAGTCGAGAAATCGAAACATTAAAAAATTGGAAAATTGATAAATCTAAAATTTCAAAAGGTCGAAAAATTGTAAAATCAAAAATAACTCGAAAAATCGAAATTCCAAAATTTAAAAAAAGAAAAAATTAAAAAACCGGAAAATTGAAGAATTCAAAATTTGAAAACTCGTGAAATTGAATCATTCCAAAACTGAAATGACGAAAAATTGGAAAATCAAAAAATTGAGAAATCGAAATAGGCCAAAATTGAAATCGAAATTAAAGTGAAAAATTTGAAATTAAAAAAAATCGAAAAATTGAAAAATCGAAAACTTTAAAATTCAAAACATCAAAAAATTGAAAAATTAATAAATCTAAAATTTGAAAATCGAAAAATTGAAAAAAAATTGAAGAATTGAAACATTCCAAAGCTGAAACGACGAAGTTCAAAATCGAAAAATTGGAAAATCAAGAAATTTAAAAAATCGAGATATACCTATTATAAAGATTTATAAAATCATTATAAATCTGAAATGACGAAAAATTGAAAAACGAAGAATAGAAAAGTTTCAACTTACAAAAATCGAAGAATTGAAAAATGTACAACCGAGACGTCGAGAAATCGAAATTTCAAAAAATCGGAAAATTGATATGTAAAAGAAGTCGAAAAATTGGAAAATCAAAAACTCAACTCGAAAAATCTAGAAATCCAGGAATCTAAAATAAAAAAAAATACCGATAAATTGAAAATCGAAAAATCGGAAGTTCAAAGAATCGGAAAACCGACAAATCGAAATTCCAAAATTTAAAAAAAGAGGAACTGAAAAATCGAAAAATTTGAAAACTCGTGAAATTGAACCATTCCAAAATTGAAATCGAAAGTAAAGAACTGAAAATTTTGAAACCAAAAAAAAGCGAAAAATTGAAAAATCGAAAACTTAAAAATTCAAAACATCAAAAAATTGAAAAATTAATAAATCTAAAATTTGAAAATCGAAAAATTGAAAAATCAAGAATAGAAAAATTTCAAATAAAAAAAAAATCAAAAATTGATAAATCTAAAATTTCAAAAGTCGAAAAATTGGAAAATCAAAAAACTTAATTCGAAAAATCTAGAAATCGGGAATCTATAATTTAAAAAATTTTAAAATACCGAAAAATTGAAAATCGAGAAATCGAAAAATTCAAAAATTCAAAATTTAAAAGTCGAAAAATCGAAAAACCAAGAAATCGAAATTTCAAAATTTAAAAATCGGAAAATCGAAAAATTGAGAAATCTATAATTTGATGAATTTAAAGAAATCGGAACATCAAAAATTTGAAAAATTCCAGAATTGAAATATCTAAAATTTAAAAGTGGAAAAATCGAAAACCCGAGAAAATAAAAATCTAAAACTTAAAAATTCGAAAAATTGAGAATAAGGAAAATTGAAAAATTCCAGAATTGAAATATCTAAAATTTAAAAGTGGAAAAATCGAAAACTCGAGAAAATAAAAATCTAAAACTTAAAAATTCGAAAAATTGATAAATCTAAAACTTAAAAATCGAGAAATCGAAAAGTCGAAAAATTGAAGGATCGAAATATTGAAAAATCCCAGAACTGACATAGAAAAATTGTAAAGTGGAAGAAAAACTGATGAATGTAAAAATTAAAAGATCCTAAATCTGAAAAATTGAAAAATTCGAAAAATTGAAAAATCTAGAAATCGAGAAATTGGAACACCAAAAAATCTGAAAATTAAAATTCAAAATTTAAAAGTCACAAAATCAAAAAATCCAAAATACGAAAGTTAAGAAATTTGAAAATTGAATAAAAAATCTGAAACATTTCAAAACTGAAACAACGAAAAATTTGGAAATTCTAAAATCGAAATGTCGAAAAATTGGAAAATCGAAAAATCTAAAACAAGTTGAAAAATCGAAAGATCGAGATATTTAAAAATCCGAAAAATTGGAAAGCAGAAATATAAAAGAACTAAAAACTTGAAAAATCTAGAAATCTAAAATTTAAAAAATTGAAAAATTAAATATGGAAAAATTGAAAATCCAGGAATTAAAATCTAAAATTTAAAAGTCAAAAAATCGGGAAATTCAAAATTAAAAAAATAGGAAAACTGAAAAATGGGAAAATCGAAAAGTCGAAAAATTTAAGGATCGAAAAATTGAAAAATTAAAAAATCTCAAGATTGGAAATACTGAAAAATCGAAAAATTGGAGTAAAAAAATTAAAAATCGTAAAAATGAAACATCGAAAATTTTAAAAATTGTAAAATCGAATAAAAGTAAAATTCAAAAAAGCGAAAAATTGAAAAATAAAAAACTCAAAAGTCAAAAATTTAACAATTCAGAATTGAAAAATTTGAATTAAACACAAAAATTCGAAAAATCTCAAACCAAGAAGTCGAAAAATCTAAACATTGAGAAATTGAAACACCAAAAAACTGAAAAATTGAAAATTTAAAACATCGAAAATTCAAAATATCGAAAAAAATCGGAAAGTTAAAAATTGATAAATTGAGAATAAAAAAAAAATGGAAAAATTGAAAAATCTAAAGCAGAAAAACTGTAAAATTAAAATATCGAAAAATCTAAACATCAAAAATCGCAAAATCGAAAGATTAAAGGATCAAAATATTGAAAAATCCCAAAACTGATATTTCGAAAAATTGAAAAATGGAAGAAATACTGAAAAATCGAAAAATTGGAGTAAAAAAATTAAAAAATCGTGAAACTGAAACATCGAAAATTTAAAAAATCGTAAAATCGAATAAAAGTAAAATTCAAAAAAGCGAAAAATTGAAAAATAAAAAACTCAAAAGTCAAAAATTTAATAGTTAAGAATTGAAAAATTGAAATTAAACACAAAAATTCGAAAAATCTCAAACCGAGAAGTCGAAAAATCTATACATTGAGAAATTGAAACCCCAAAAAAACTGAAAAATTGAAAATTTAAAACATTGAAAATTCAAAATATCGACAAAAATCGGAAAGTTAAAAATTGATAAATTGAGAATAAAAAAAAAATGGAAAAATTGAAAAATCTAAAGCTGAAAAACTGAAAAATTAAAATATCGAAAAATCCAAACATCAAAAATCGTAAAATCGAAAAATTAAAGGATCAAAATATTGAAAAATCCCAAAAATGAAACATTGAAAAATTTAAAAATCAAAAACCTGAACAACAGAAAAAATGAGAAATCGAAAATGAAAAATCGAGAAATCGAAAATTAGAAGAATTGGAAAATTAAACAACCGAAAAATTGAAAATCTAGAAATCGGGACATCAAAAAATTGAAAAACCAAGAAATCCAAAACTAAAAAAAATTGAAAAATTGAATCGAAAATCTGAAAAACCGAGAAATTGAAACCTTATAAAACAGAAATGACGAAAAGTTGTGAAATTGAAATATGCTAGAATTTGCAATAAAAAAAATCGAAAAATCTAAAACCGAGGAGTTGCAAAATCGAAAGACTGAGAAATCTCAACATCAAAAAACTGAAAAATCAAGAAATTGAGAAATCGAAAAAGATAAATCGAAAAACCGAAAAATTAAGAAATCGAAAAATTCTTATATCCACAATTTTTTTTTCCAAAAATTCAACACGGATGCATGAACTGCAAATTCAGAAGTATGTATGTTACTTTTTAACATTTAATTAACATTTAATGTATATATTATATACCTACAATTTTGATTTGTTTTCCAAAAATCTGGACGCCGAAGGTAAAAACTTAATACAGATTCATAAACCACAAATGGAGTTGTTATTTTATAAAATTTAAATAACATTTACCATTGTAAAACTTGGAGTTGAGGTTATTCCATTATTAATAGGGATGGGCAGACAAATTTTGGCTAACGTTTTACCATCTACATGATATTCCTAACAAACCTACAAAATTTAGCAGCAATCGGGCCGTTAGACAGACGGCAGACAGACAGACAGACAGACAGACAGACGGACAGACGGACGGACAGACAGACAGACAGACAGACGGAAGGCTTAGCTAAGTTCAAGCTCCATATTCATTGTACTCACAGGATTCCAGTCTTGTAAGTCTTCGAAAGAACCCCTTTTCCCCAACAGCTTCCTATACAGCACCATGGGAAAATTGACGGCCAAGATAACATTATTGTATATAGCAAGTCCTAACACTATACCGATCAATGTGAACTGAGCGTCGCTTTCGAAACTGGTCGGATTAAACCAAACCGTCCCCGCTTCGCTCTGATTGGTAAACATTGCGTAATCGGGATTAAAAATTTCCTCGATCACTAACTGAAAGAACTCCTTGGATACGCCGCCCTCGTCGATCCCCTGCTCGCCCTCGAACTCCACCACCAGCTGTTTCTTCAGGTCGTTGGGGTTTTCCATGGAGATCATTTCCAACTAGAAAATTGTTGACGTTTGTGTCATGGTCTACCGGATCATTTTTTTTTTTTACTTACCTCTACTAGTGCGTCGTCGATTATGTGGTCCCTGCGGACTTTTAAACGCAAGTAGGGATTCGAAGGCTGTCCGGTGACCGACTGTAAAATACTAATTCGTCGCTCCGAGTACATACGTATCCTATTGTCAAAATACAAGCCCATCATTTTAGTGGCCGGTGTGAGGATGAAGGGGTAATGCATAAAACTAAATTTCCCTAAAAGTTCACCTAACACGTAAACCTAGCCTCTCTCTAACCCCACCCACTCACCTAGTTCGCTTTTATAGTTAGCAAAATCCCTATCCATCTCGACACCATCACTCAAAGGCTCGTTGTAGAATTCGGAAAACGGTAAATAAGGCTTTCGGCAGTCCAAAACGTGAACTCCCAATTCCGTGGCTAAAGAAAAAAAAAACAAGTTTATGCGACCACAAAAGTGTGTTTTTGCACACCTAAAGGATCAATGGGTGGCGTGGTCTTGTTGAGTTTGATGGCCAGGTACGAGTCGTCCATGGACACGGTCAGTTCCTCGTTACGCAAATCCGGGGATTCCAACACCCCGGCCAACATATTCGCGTAAAAAAGAATCTGGAGAAAACATAACCTCAAAAACGAGTCGCTAATGTCATTTCTACCACCTTCATGAGTTTCGTAGCCGACGTGATCACATTTTCGTCTTGGACATAAAAATCTCGATGGAACTGCGTCACGATCACCCTCAGTGTTACCAACTGCTGTAAATTTTCTAAAATGTTGCGTAAGCTAGAACGGCCCGGACCCGACCAAATTCGGGCCAGTTTGGCTTGCACTTCCACCGGGAGCCACTCGGAGGCCCTACAAATCGCCGGCAGGGCCGTCTCGAGGAAATCGCCAGAACCTGATACAAAATACAGCTAACTTCACACTTATTAAACAAATTAGTCAAACTTTTTAGCGACAGAACTTCCCTCGCTCCTGAAGTTCAATGAAACGTATGCAGCATTTTCGAAAAATAATAAAATTTGATTTTGCGGATTTTATATTTTTTATGAGAAGCCCTGTTTTTCAATTTTTCGAATTTTTAAATTTTCAATTTTTCAAGTTTTTGATGTTTACATTTCCGGATGTTTCGATTTTTCAATTCTCAATTTTTCTTCCAGTTTTCAATTTTTCGAAATGTCAGTTTTGGGTTTTTTAAATTTTCGAATTTTTAGTTGGTTGATGTTTCGATTTTTCGACTCCTCGGTTTTAGACTTCTTGGATTTCTCAATTTTTCGATTTTCCAATTTGCGATGTTTCAATTTCTCGATTTTTCAGATTTTCGATTCAATTTTCTAATTTTTCGATTTTTCAAATTTTGAATTTTGGACTTGTTAGTTTTTTAATTTTTTGATGTTCCGATTTCTCAACCTTTGCATTTTTCAACTTCTCGGTTTTAGATTTTTCAATTTTTTTGTTTTTTAAATTTCTAAATTTTTGAATTCATAACTTTCCGATTTTTCGGTTTTAACCTATGACGATTACTCAATTTTTCGATTTTCCTATTTTTCAATCTTTCGGATTTTTTATTTTTCAATTTCGACTTTTCAGTTCTTCGATATTTTTCAGTTTATCGAATTTTTAAATTTTCGATTTTTCAGTTTTTTGATGTTTCGATTTTTTTTGTAATTTCAAATTTTTTAGTTCAAACTTTCCGATTTTTCGGTTTTAACCTATTTGGATTTCGGTTTTTTAATTTTCCAATTTGTCGTCATTTCAGTTTAGGAAAGTTTCAATTTACCGATTTTTCAGATTTTCGATTTCTCGGTTCTTCGAATTTTCGATATTTTAATTTTTCAATTTTTAAAATATTTGATTTTTCGATTTTACGATTTTTTAATGTTTCGATTTCTTGGCATCTCGGTTTTTCATTTTTAAAATTATCGCTGTGTCAGTGCTAGGATTTTTCACGATTTTTACTTTTTCAAATTTTTAAATTTTTGATTTTTCTCGATCTTTTGATTTTTCGACTTCTTGGTTGTACATTTCAAATTGATTTTTTTAATTTGAAATTTTTCAATTTTTAATTTTCTAATTTTTCGTCATTTTAGCTTTGAAATGTGTCAATTTTCCTTTTTTTCAATTTTTCGATTTTTTAGTTTCTTGGGTTTTCGATTTTTCGACTTTTGAATTTTAGATTTTCGAATTCCTCGATTTTCTATTTATCAATCTCTTAATTTTTTAATTTATTAAATTATAGATTTCTCGATTTCTTAACTGTTCAATTTTTCGAATTTTTAAGTTTTTTGATGTCATGTCTCAATCTTTCGTCTTCTCGGTTTTAGATTTTTCGATTTTTTTTTATTTCAAAATTTTCAGTTTTGACTTATTTCGATTTCTCAATTTTTCGATTTTCCAATTTTTCGGTTTTTCAATTTTTCATTTCCCCAATTTTTCGTCACTTCAGTTTTGGACTGTTTCAATTTCACGATTTTTCAAATTTTGGATTTTTGAATTTTTCGATTTTTTCATCTATTCTTCCTCTATTTTCAATTTTTCAATGTCTTAAATTGTAGGCTCCCCGATTTATAGATTTTTCGAGTTTTCATTTCCTCGAAATTTCTATTTTTCAATTTTTGATTTCTGAGATTTTTGATTTTCCAATTTTGCGACTTTATTGTAATTTCACGTTTTTCGATTTTTAGATTTGTCTATTTTTTAAGTTTTCAATTTCTCAGGTTTGAGAGTTTTTCAGCTTGTGGATTTTTCGATATTACTCGATTTTTTGATATTTGACTTTGCGGATTTTTCAGTTTTTCGATTTTTTATTTTTAAAACTTCTCAATTGAAGAATCAAATATCTAAAAAATTCTAAAACTGAAATATCGAAAAAGTGAAAAACTGAAAATCGAAAAAAAATTGAAAAATTGAAAAATCGAAAAACTGAAAGATCGAGAAATTGATTGAAAAGTCGAAAAACTGAAAATTTTAAGAATCCAAACATTAAAAAATCGAAGAATTGAAGAATCAAATAACTGAAAAATCCTAAAACTGAAATATCGAAAAATTAAAACTCGAGAAATCGGAACTTTGAAAAAAACGTGAAAATGAAGAATCGAAAAAGTGAAGAATCAATGAATTGAGAAAATCCTGTAACTGAAATATCGAAAAATTGAGAAATCCAAAAATTTAGGAACCGAGTGTTGAAAAATCCAAAACCTGAAATATGTGTCGAAAAATTTAAAAATGAAAAACAGAAAAAAATGAAGAATCGAAAAACTGAAAGAGCGAGAAATCGAAAATTTGAAAAATCGAAAAGTCGAGACGTCAAGCAATCGAAACACCGAAAAGTCGAGAAATGGGAAAACAAAAAGTCGGAAAGTCAAATAAATATCGGAAAATTGGGAAATCGAAAAATAAAATCACGAGAAATCACAAATTTAAAAAAAAGCGCGAAACTGAAGAATCGAAAAATTGAAAAATCGAAGAATGAAATAACTGAAAAATCCTGAAACTGAAATATCGAAAAATTGAGAAATCCAAAAATTTAGAAACCGAATGTTGAAAAATCCAAAACCTGAAATATGTGTCGAAAAATTTAAAAATGAAAAACAGAAAAAAATGAAGAATCGAAAAACTGAAAGAGCGAGAAATCGAAAATTTGAAAAATTAAAAACCTGAAAAATCGAAAAGTCGAGACGTCAAGCAATCGAAACACCGAAAAGTCGAGAAATGGAAAAATCAAAAAGTCGGAAATTCAAATAAATATCGGAAAATTGGGAAATCGAAAAATAAAATCACGAGAAATCACAAATTTAAAAAAAAGCGCGAAACTGAAGAATCGAAAAATTGAAAATTTGAGAAATCGAAGAATCAAATAACTGAAAAATCCTGAAACTGAAATACCGAAAAATCGAGACATCCAAAAATTTAGGAACCGAATATTGAAAAATCCAAAACCTGAAATATGTGTCGAAAAATATAAAAATGAATAACAGAAAAAAATGAAGAAGCAAAAAACTGAAAGATCGAGAAATCGAAAATTTGAAAAATCAAAAACCTGAAAAATCGAGAAGTCGAGACGTCAAGTAATCGAGTAAGTAAGTAAGTAAGTAAGTAAGTAAGTAAGTAATCGAAACACCGAAAAGTCGAGAAATGGGAAAATCAAAAAGTCGGAAAGCAAATAAATATCGGAAAATTAAGAAATCGAAAAATAAAATCACGAGAAATCACAAATTTAAACAAAAAACGGGAAACTGAGGAATCGAAAAATTGAAAATTTGAAAAATCGAAGAATCAAATAACTGAAAAATCCTGAAACTGCAATATCGAAAAATTGAGAAATCCAAAAATTTAGGAACCGAATGTTAAAAACTCCAAAACCTGAAATATGTGTCGAAAAATCTAAAAATGAAAAACAGAAAAAAATGAAGAATCGAAAAACTGAAAGATCGAGAAATCGAAAATTTGAAAAATCAAAAACCTGGAAAATCGAAAAGTCGAGACGTCAAATAAATATCGGAAAATTGGGAAATCGAAAAATAAAACCACGAGAAATCACAAATTTAAACAAAAAACGCGAAACTGAGGAATCGAAAAATTGAAAATTTGAAAAATCGAAGATTCAAATAACTGAAAAATTCTGAAACTGAAATATCGAAAAATTGAGAAATCCAAAAATTTAGGAACCCAAGGTTGAAAAATCCAAAACCTGAAATATGTGTCGAAAAATCTAAAAATGAAAAACTGAAAAAAATGAAGAATCGAAAAACTGAAAGATCGAGAAATCGAAAATTTGAAAAATCAAAAACGTGAAAAATCGAAAAGTCGAGACGTCAAGCAATCGAAACAGCGAAAAGTCGAGAAATGGGAAAATCAAAAAGTCAGAAAGTCAAATAAATATCGGAAAATTGGGAAATCGAAAAATAAAATCACGAGAAATCACAAATTTAAACAAAAAACGCGAAACTGAAGAATCGAAAAATTGAAAATCTGAAAAATCGAAGAATCAAATAACTGAAAAATCCTGAAACTAAAATATCGAAAAATTGAGAAATCCAAAAATTTAGGAACCGAAGGTTGAAAAATCCAAAACCTGAAATATGTGTCGAAAAATCTAAAAATAAAAAACAGAAAAAATGAAGAATCGAAAAACTGAAAGATCGAGAAATCGAAAATTTGAACAATCCAAAACCTGAAAAATCGAGAAGTCGAGACGTCAAGCAATTGAAACGCCGGAAAGTCGAGAAATGGGAAAATCAAAAAGTCGGAAAGTCAAATAAATATCGGAAAATTGGGAAATCGGAAAACAGTCACGAGAAATCACAAATTTAAACAAAAAACGCGAAACTGAAGAATCGAAAAATTGAAAATTTGAAGAATGGAAGAATCAAATAACTGAAAATTCCTGAAACTGAAATATCGAAAAATTGAGAAATCCAAAAATTTAGGAACCGAAGGTTGAAAAATCCAAAACCTGAAAAATGTGTCGAAAAATCTAAAAATGAAAAACAGAAAAAAATGAAGAATCGAAAACCTGAAAGATCGAGAAATCGAAAATTTGAAAAATCAAAAATGTGAAAAATCGAGAAGTCGAGACGTCAAGCAATCGAAACACCGAAAAGTCGTGAAGTGGGAAAATCAAAAAGTCGGAAAGTTAAATAAATATCGGAAAATTGGGAAATCGAAAAATAAAATCACGAGAAATCACAAATTTAAAAAAAAACGTGAAGCTGAAGAATCGAAAAATTGAAAATTTGAAGAATCAAATAACTGAAAAATGCTAAAACTGAATTGAGAAGTTTCAAAAATTCAAATTCAAAATTAAATTGCAAAATTTGGACATAAACTACATGTATAGGATTATGTTATTTTATACAATTTAAAACCCATTTACTATGTACGATTTTGAAGTGACGTCATCACATTATTGGTGGGGATGATTAGAGAAATTTTGGTTAGCGTTTTACCATGTTCATGATATTCCTAATATAAATACAAAATTTGACAACAGACAGACAGTAAAAACGTTAAACAAATTTGTGTATGTCTTTGCGCTTTTTTTTACCTAAGGCGGGAATTTCGAAAACTATGAGCAAAACATTGACGACGTCATCTTGGTTTCCTCTTTCTTTCCTCGTCGGTAGCTCCATCTGTAGATTCCCGGCTAAAGTAACAAGAGCGTTGACCAAGGAATGCTCGAATATCGAGGTTTTTAGTTTGAATAGAGCCGCATAGGCTCGTCGAACCGATGGTAAGTCTACGGGTAAGACGGCGTTTTCGCTCGTTTCAGCAGACGAGTCTTCATCTTTGTCTTTCTCGCCTTCCAGCGACCTGACTTCTTCTTTCTTCAAACCTGCGATGTTTTCTAACCGGATTTAAAAATACAGACGACGTGAATTTATTTACCTTTACTGGCGTCGAGTGTGGTTTCCGTGGGGCTCTTGTCCGTCTGGAGAAAACTCCGCGATAAGTTTTCTATGCTGCTGAAGACTTCGCCGATTTTTCTAATGAGACTTAAGTAACACTCAGTCGACTCACAGTCGTCGATTATGTCGTACAGCATTTGCTCGGTTAAAAACGTCGTCGAATTAGCTGCAAAGTCAAATTAGCCACGATAGGACTCCCAATCGCCACCTACTTGTGTTCAGTTTCACGTAGTTGGGATTTTCACCTAGAATAACGTCGTTTGTGGGCATTTGCACGTCCCCCTTTCGAGTAAGAGAGTTATCACTGTCAGAATCTGACGATAGCATTTTGTGGGTGCGCGCGATTTTGTTGGGGTGTCGTTCACACAAACTCGCTTCTTGCGAGAAAAGTTGGATGGCTTGTGCAGCTGCCTCGTCTGGAGTGAGCGGTTTTAACTACAAAATCACCGATTTATCGTAGTTAAACCTTCAAAGTACGTACTTGTCCGCTCGACGCGCAGTACTTGTTGTTGCACGCGGGGTTACCACAGCCGTCGGTCAATTGGTAGAAATAGCGCTCGATCAATTTTCTAGCAGCAGCACGTTTCATCTCGTCCTCTTTATTATCGGAGGGAGAAGTTTCGTTGTCCGTATTGCTACTAGACGAAGCCTCTTGGTTTATCCTGCAGCAAGGACATTCTCGTTATTACAAGTCGCACGAAACCAGCGAACTGAGCGAACAATGAACAAAACTCGGGTTGCAGTCATGACATTCAAGTTTGACATTAGCAACATAACCTATACGGGTTGCGAGTGTTGTTTCGAGCGGGGTTGTCGGGGGTTTTGGGTACCTTGAAGCGTCGTCTTGGTCTCCAGGTTGGTCGGATGCGCTCATAGAATTTTCTTATGTAAATAAATAAGGACTAAAAGGCTAAGAAAAATAAAGGATACAAAGTGGACCTAAAAACTTTAACACATGTGGCGCGACATTTATGACAGTTCAAGAAACCTTAAAAATGACTCCGCTTTACTTGTTATTTATTTCAGACGAATATCTTGTTTGTTTTTACTGCATTAACTTTACGACTTTTACGACATTGCTGCTGACTGCTCTGTCATTTCGTTGGGGATTTTTGAGGTCCGGGGTTGGCAGCGCTGGCGCTGCCAACCACGCAGTTTTGAACCGAACGATCAACTATGGCGAACTTCGTAGCACCATAAAGTGGCCAAAATTTATTTAATTCACACCAAAACGAGTTGAAAGTGATTATTAATAACGAAAGTACGAATATAGTGCAAAAGGAGCGCGAGTTTTCGGTGCAGTTGTGCCACACAGGTAAATTTGTCATTCACTGAGCAACACACACCCCCCTAGATTAGTCCACTGATTTTATCCAAATTTTAAGTACTTTCATATTTCAGGTTTGAACTTCGTGAACGTATTTTGTGTTACTGTTTTCCAATGACGTGTGACCACGTGACTCTGAAGCATGCATCTGATTCGTACGTCACTCCCGACGCCTCTCGAAGATCCTCAAAAGAGTGCCGACGCCACACGAACTGTAAGTTTTCGTTCTTGATTGGTTATTCGTGTTGGGGTGGGGGTATTGAATAAGTGTGTCGATGTTTTTTGATTATTTTATTATTTCATTCAAAACGTTACAGTAATAAACGCTATTGGTACCCACAGTGCGATAAAAGCAAGACGATTTCATCACTAACTGACAAAAACTAAAATACCCCAAAACGAGGAGTAAAATTGCACACAATATAATGTGTTAAAACGAATTATTACATACAATTGCATGAATAAGGCACATGCCTTTAAGACAATAAATATAAAATCATTTTTTAATAAAAAATGTTACTAAAAATAATGTCACTTAATTAATACATTTTGGAACATATTTAACAGATTACACCTAAGTAATGTACACCGTCAACTCATACCTAAAACAGACGAGGCAACGTTTACAAGACTATCTAGTAGTAGACTTAAATAATAAAACCCATGATTATCTAGAGCAAATAACTAAAGCACTGCTTGGTCTTAGTTTGACAAAGAGACGCAGTGCGATCGTATCGATTATCTAACAAAATAAATCTATATATCCATCCGCGTAACAATACAATAATAGAATCTGAAAAAAGTAACATAGACTATATACAAATAAATGCAACTTTTATCTGATCAGACATGTAAATAATTGCACATAATTTAGGCTACGATGGAACGGTATCAATTTAAATAGTCAGTCTGATGGTGTAAGTAAAGCGACCTTATCTAAGTATTATCTTAACGCAAGATAAGTAAATAAGTTATGGTCCCGTATCAGCTCGAGTCACAAAATGTACAAAAATAAACCTCAGAAGAATCCAATTTTGACATATAGCGCGTTAAGGCACATGAACCCGACTTATATACAATAAGCTAATTAAGTACACTCTTGCATCAACATCGTTATAAAAATATTTATATTTGAGCCGCACTATAATTATTCATACCTTTGGTTTGTGGAATGTATACAATATAACAAAAGTGTTTGCCGCCTCTGGAAGACATCCTAGTAACACCACATAATCGTTTTTGTACTTTAGACTCCCGTCATCACTAACTCGATCCCAATTACTTCAGCTGCTTGATTAATTGCGGGTGCGTTCGGGCGACGATGGCCTGCAATTTCTGCAATTGACTCAACAAATTGCTGTTCGAATCCTCCAAGCTCTCGATCTTGGTCCGGTAGTCGTTGTTCTCGGAGACGAGAACTTCGACTTTGCGCTCGAGCTGGTCCATGTACTCCTTCTTCTTTCGTCGACTCTCTTGCGCTGAAATCTAAAAGAAAAAATAAGTATATTTTTTTGTGATTTTTGTTTTCTGATAACCTCTATAAAGCAAAAACTAGTGGCGTAAATAACACCACCGCAGTTTAAATTTTTCAGTTTTTCAATTTTCTAATTTTTGAATTTTTCAATTTTTGATTTGATTTTTTTAATTTCTCAATTATTCGATTTTTCAGTGTATCGATTTTATAATTATTTGTTTAAATTTTAATGTTTTCAGTTTTTCGTTTCTCCAATTTTTCGATTTGCAAATTTTCATTTTTCTTAATCAATTTTTAGATTTTGCAATGTTGTGATTTAATATTCCTCGCGTTTTAATTTTAATTTTTTCAATTTTTCATATTTATTTTCTTTCAATTTTACGACATTCAACTCTTCGAGTTCTGATTTTAAAATTTTTTCGTCAATTTTCAAACTTTTGAATGTTTCAGTTTTTAGATATTACAATTTTTTCATTCGCAATTTCATGATTTTTGAATTTTTAATTTTCCTGTTTCAATATTTCAATTTTTCATTTCTTCAATTTTTTGATTTGCCGTTTTTCGTTTATTTTTTCAATTTTTCGGTTTTTCAATACTCTGATTTTATTCTTTTTTTTCATTGTGAATTTTTCAAATTTTTGGAGTTTTCAATTTTTCGACTAGCAGTTTTTCGTTTCCACTTTTTATTTTCTTTATTTTTTCAACTATTCGATTTTAAATTTTTTGTTTTTTCAATTTTTCGTTTCTTTAATTTTTCGATTCGCAATTTTCCAATTTTTATTTTTTGTTTCTTTAATTTTTCAATTTTTCGATTCCGTAATTTTTCATTTCTTCAAATTTTCAAGTTCAAATTTTTCGTTTCGGTTTTTTGTTTTCTTTTTCGATTTTTCAATGTTCATTTTTTGTAAGTTTTTCTTTTTCAAGTTTAATTTTCCGATTTTCCAACTTTCGGATGCTTCAATTTTTCGATTTTGAAATTTTACATTCGCAATTTCATGAGTTTTGCAATTTTTCCTTTATTTTTTCAATTTTTCGGTTTTCCAATGCTCTGATTCTATTCTTTTTTTCTTTTTTCCAATGTGAATATTTTAAATTTTTGGAGTTTTCAATTTTTCGACTAGCAGTTTTTCGTTTCGACTCTTTATTTTCTTTATTTTTTCAACTATTCGATTTTAAATTTTTTGTTTTTTCAATTTTTTGTTCCTTTAATTTTTCGATTCGCAATTTTCCAATTTTTATTTTTTGTTTCTTTAATTTTTCAATTTTTCGATTCCGTAATTTTTCATTTCTTCAAATTTTCGAGTTGAAATTTTTCGTTTCGGTTTTTTGTTTTCTTTATTTATACATTTTTCGATTTTTCAATGTTCCTTTTTTATAATTTTTTTTTCAAGTTTAATTTTTCAATTTTACGACATTCAACTCTTCGAGTTCTCATTTTAAAATTTTTTAATTTTTCGATTTTCCAACTTTCAGATGTACCAATTTTTCCTTTATTCTTTCAATTGTTCGGTTTTCCAATTCTCTGATTTTATTCTTTTTTTCTTTTTTCCAATGTGAATATTTTTAATTTTTGGAATTTTCAATTTTTCGATTTACAATTTTTCGAGTATTCAATTTTTAGGGTTTTTAAATTTTTGGTTTCTCCAATTTTAGGTTTTTCTTATTTCTTAATTATTTCATTTAATTAAGTAAAATGTAATGATTTTTGTGATTTCAATTTTAATTTTTTCAATTTTTCGATTCTGTAATTTTTCATTTCTTCCAATTTTCACTTTGCAATTTTTAGTTTCGTTTTTTATTTTCCTTATTTTTACAATTGTTGGATTTTTCAATGTTCCGAGTTCATAATTTTTTTGTTTTTTCAATTTCAATATTTTCAATTTTTGGTTCCTTCACTTATTCGATTCGCAATTTTTCAATTTTTTGTTCTTTCAATTTTACGACATGCAATCTTCGAATTTTTATTTTAAATTTTTTCTGTTTTCCGTTTATCCAACATTTGGTTGTTCAACTTTTACATTTTGGAATTTTTTGATTTGCCATTTGACATGTTTTCAATTTTTAATTTTCCAATTTTCTTCTTGTGACTTTTCGTTTCGGCTTTTGATTCGCTTTATTATTCAATTTTTTAGTTCTACATTTTTCTGATTTTCTTTTTCAATTTTTGGATTTTTTAATTTTTCGTTTTTCAATTTTAGATTTTACAGTTCTTCGGTTTTTCATTTTTTCGTTTCTTCGATTATTCTATTTCCAATTTTTCTTTTTTCTTGTTCTTGCAATTTTATGACATGTGACTCTTTGAGTTTTCATTATAAAATTTTTCATTTTTTCGATTTTCCAACTTTTCGATGTTTCAATTTTTCGAGTCAAAATTCTTCGAGTTTTCAGTTTATAATTTTTCACTTTTTCGATTCTGTAATTTTTCATTTTCTTTATTTTTACGTGATTTTTTTAATTTTTGGATTTTTCAATGATTTGAAATTTTTCGGTTTTCAGGTTTTCGATTTTTAAATTTGTCAATTTTCCGACTTTTGGATGTTTGACAACTTTTACATTTTGGAATTTTTTGATTTGTAATTTGACAAGTCTTCAATTTTTAATTTTCCAATTTTCCGGTTTGCAATTTTTCGTTTCGGTTTTTATTGTTGCGTTTTATAATTTTTCTATTCTGTAATTTTTCAAATTTTCGATTTGCGAGTTTTCGTTTCGGTTTTTTATTTTGTTTATTTTTCAATTTTTTCGTGATTTTTTTTAATTGTTGGATTTTCAGTTTTTGATACGCAATTTTTCGGTTCTCAATTTTTAGCTTTTTTTAATTTATCGTTTTTTCAATTTTGATTTGCAATTTTGTTTTTCTAGTTTTTATTTTAAATATGTAATGATAATTTAGTATAATTTTAGTAAACGGTAAATTTTTCAATTAGTGGATTTTAAAATTTTTTATTTAGTACGATTTTTCATTTTGCGATTCTTAACTTTTCAATTTTTCAATATTTAATTTTTCAGTTCTCCAATTTTTCATTTTTTTTTATTCTTTCAATTTACGATATGCGACTCTTCGAGTTTTGACTTTGAAATTTCCCATTTTTTCGAGTTTCCAACTTTTTTCAATGTTTCGATTTTATAATTTTTTGTTTCAGTTTTAATTTTTTCAATTTTTTATTTCTTCAAATTTTCGATTTGCAATTTTTCGGTTTTCAGTTTTTAGATTCTTCTATTTTTAGTTTTTTTAATTTTTCGTTTTTTCAATTTTAGATTTTCCAGTTTTTCGTTTCGTAAATTTTTGATTTGCGTTTTTATTTTTCTAGTTTTCATTTTAATCATGCAATAATAATTAGTATAATTTTTAAAATTTTTCTAAAATTTTCAGGTGTTCGTTTTTAATTTAACGATTTTAGAATTTTTACATTTTTGAAGTATTCAATTTTTCAATTCCATTCGTTTTTTTTCTTTCCGATTTGTCAATTCATTAATTTTTTCGGTTTTTAGTTTTTTGATGTTTCGGTCTTCTGTTTTTTCAGTGGTTCGATTTGCAATTTTCGATTTTCCAATTTTTCGTTCTTTCGGTTTTTTATTTTCAGTTTTTTATATTTTCGATAAAAAAAGAAAACACTGCAAAATTGTTAAACTGAAGAATAAAAAGTTAACTAACGAAAAGTATAAATTGAAAATTAAGAATTTGAAACCTTGAAGAAACCAAAATTGAAAAAATAAAGCAAATGAGAATACAAAAAATGTGATATAAAATTGAGAAAATGAAAAATAAAAATCAAGAACTTGGAAAATTGAGGGAAAAAATTGAAAAATCGAAAAATTACACACACGTACCTTGTTTTTGATTTTCCTCCGTATTTTCTTGAGAGATTTTTCTTCGGCTTTTGTTAGAGGCAGTCTTGTTGGTACAGGGTAACCTTCCGCGATCAGCGTTCTTTTCTCTTCTTCGGTGAGAATTAGGGTCCCCGTTGAACCTTTCTGCAACACAAAATATATTACAGTGCGGGCCTGCAAGCAAGACAATTTTTTTCATAGTAGTGGGTAATGAACCTGCCTTGAATTTGATCACAATTACTTTACAAAAATGTATTTTTTTAATGACACTTTCTTTTTCTGACAATTTTACACCAGTATAGTGTGCAAAAAATAATTTAAAGCACATGATGACTAACCGAAGTCCATATCTCATAGTTATCAATAAAGTATATTATTATTCTTTACAAAAAATATTATCAAGTAAAAGTGCGATAAAAATGTCACCGTCAAATGACATGTATATCTTGAACGCAACTTCATTTTTTGTTTATTTAGTAATTATAGAACTAATCTAAGGCGTCTTCAAGTTGGCACTCGACGCGCCAAAACCTTACCGGTTGGCTGCTGATCAGGGGGGTGTGTATGGGCTGGCGGGTGCTCGTGTGGTGGTTGATCACAACCCTGTTGGCGGCGTTCTTCCTCACGTTCGGGGACGGCGGCTGCGATATGGTGGCGTTGTCCTCGCTGTCCTCGCTACTGCTACACGACGGCGGCGTCGGCGGCAAGTGGAAGCCGGTCCCCGGTTCGATCTTAATATTTAGTTTGGGCACTTGTATCCTCTGAGGTATGACGTTGTGCGGGGAACTGATCATAATGTTGGCCTGTTTTAAGATCGACTGGGTGCTCTTCATGTCCACGTCGAAGTGCAGCTCGCTCGTGTTCATGAAGCTCGAATGGGGCGACGAAGGGCAGGAAGAGTGCGTGCTGTCGGTTTCGCTTAAAGGCTCATCTTTTATCGTTATCGCTTCGTTCGTTAGCCTTTCGCATGCTGTGTTTAATGGGATCGCGGGAAAGCATTCGTCTTCCATGTCTGCGGGTAAAGTGGGTTAGAGCCTGAAGCCCTTGCAGAATTCTCGTTACCTTCTAGTTTGTTGTGTGATATGGGCGAATCGGGAAGGGAGTCTCCATCCGAGGCCAAGCTGTACGAATGTTCGGTTTTGATGGGTCTGGTGCCCAAGGCCGCATCCGTCATGAGTCTGTCGTGGATGATAACCGCGGGGATGTCCTTCTCCATGTAGCTCCATTCGACGTCTCCGGAGGCGTTCAAACGTAGCACTTCCTGCATGGTCTGGAAGAGAGAACAGGAATTAGACCAGGCGAATAACTAAAATAATAATAAAAGCGAGTATATCGGTACGAAGGGCGTCGAGGAAATATTTCGAGGGGCTCTGAATAGACAACCAGGTATACGCGAATCTCGGAGTCAACGATCTCCGCATTCTCCACGCTTGTGACTGTCGAAACCTTCACCTTGCCCTCGCGGCTTCTTCAATGTCAAAGAAATTGAGGGGGCCCGAATCCCACTCGAGGAGGCTTTCGGAGGATTTCCGTTAGGTTTAGGACGGGTTGAGGAATTTGTGAACAAGGTGGAATTTATCGTCGAAGTCACGGAAGGTCCAAAGATTGGGATCCAGATAAAGCTGATTTAAATTTGCCAGAGTTCCAGAGTCCACGGTAATTTACATGAATGGGATTTCAGCGGATCGTTAAAATGAATGAATCGTAATAATTCCGGTGACATGGACATTATCCATAAACATTACCACTTTCTATCTCGTTGTGGCTTATAGTACGTGACATCGCAGGGTCACGTCAAAAGAGCAGGATTTTTCTTACTGAATAAGTAAAAGTTCTTTCATCCCATTCGGAAATTTAATGACGTCATCTTAAAAAAAAATTAAACAAATGTTGGTTTGCTAAAACTTTCGACAAAAATGTGGTTGCCAATTTTTCGTCATTTCAGTTTTGGAATGTTTCAATTTCTCGATTTTTCAGATTTTCGATTCAACTTTCCGATTTTTCGTTATTTTAGTTTTTCAATTTTCTAAATTTTAGGTCTTTATATTGTTCGAGTTTTTAGTTCTTCTATATTTTTCGGAATCTTATATTATCAGTTTTTTGATGTTTAAATTTCTAGATTTTTCGACTTCTCAGTTTTAGATCTTTCGATTTTTCAGTTTTGCGATTTGCCAATTTTTAAATTTCCCAATTTTTCGTCGTTTCAGTTTTGGAATGTTTCAGATTTTCCATTCAATTGTTCGATTTAGATTTTTTAAATTTTGGATTTCTTGATTTTTTGACTTTTAAATTTTAGATTTTTCAATTTCAATTTCTCGAGTTTTCAGTTCTGCGATATTTTTGTTTCAGTTAAAAAAAATTTCAACTTAGTTTTTTGATGTTTAAATTTCTCGATCCTTCGATTTTTGGCTTTTCGGTTCTAGATTTTTGGATTTTCCGATTTTTCTTAATTTCAATTGTTTAATCCTCAATTTTCCGATTTTTCGGTTTGAGCCCATTTCAAATTTTCAATTTCTCCATTTTTCAGATTTTCAATTTCTCGGCTTTTCGATGTTTCAGATTTGGGATCTTTTAATTTTTCAATTCTTCAATTTATTCTTCGACTTTTCAATTTTGCTATATGTCAGTTTTAGGATTTTTCAATATTTCGATCCTTCAGTTTTTCGACTTCTTGAGTTCTCGACTTTTACTTTTTCAGTTTCTCGATTTTTAAATTTTAGATTTATCAATTCTTCGATTTTTTTATTAGAAATTTTTCAATTCTTAATTTTCCAGTTTTTCGATTTTGGACTATTTCGATTTCTTTTTTCTTTTTTCAATTGTTTGATGTTCCGATTTCTCGATTTTTAGATTGTTCGATTTTTAAATTTTAGATTTTTCGATATTTTTGTGTTCAAATTTTTCAATTTTAAAAATTTTGACTTATTTCGATTTTCCAATTTTTCGTCATTTCGGTTTTGGAATGTTTCAATTTCTCGGTTTTTCAGATTTTCGATTCAATTTTCCGATTTTTGGACTTTCAAATTTTAGATTTTTGATTTTTCGATTCTTTAGATGTGCCAATTTCTGGGTTTTCAATTTTTCGGTATTTTCATTTTTCAATTTTTTAAATTTTAGATCTCTAGATCGTTCAAGTTTTTAGTTCTTCTATATTTTTCGGAATTTCCAATTTTTCGTGCTTTCAGTTTTGGAATATTTTAATTTCTCGATTTTTCAGATTTTCGATTCAATTTTCCGATTTTTGGACTTTTAAATTTTAGATTTTTGAATTTTTCGATTTTTAGATGTGCCAATTTCTCGGTTTTCAATTTTTCAATTTTTTAAATTTCTAGATTGTTCAAGTTTTTAGTTCTTCTATATTTTTCGGAATTTTAAATTTTCAATTTTTTGATGTTTAAATTTCTTCGATTTTTCAGTTTTGCGATTTGCCAATTTTTGAATTTTCCAATTTTTCGCCGTTTCAGTTTTGGAATGTTTCAAATTTTCGATTCGATTGTTCACTTTTCAATTTTTAGATGTTTTAATTTTTGGATTTTGGATTTCTTGATTCTTTCACTTTTAATTTTAGATTTTTGAATTTCAATTTCTCGATTTCTAAATTTTTCGAGTTTTCAGTTCTTCGATATTTCTGTTTCAATTTTTCAGTTTTTTGATGTTTTAATTACCCGATCTTTCAATTTCTGACTTTTCGGTTCTAAATTTTCCGATTTTTCTATTTTGACTCATTTCAAATTTTCAATTTCCCCATTTTTCAGATTTTCGATTTCTCGGTTTTTCGATGTTGCGATATTTTAATTTTTCAATTCTTGATTTCTAGTTTTCGAGTTTTTTGAATTTCCAATTTTTTGATGTTTCGAATTTTTAAATTTTCGATATTTCAGTTTTGGGATCTTTTAATTTTTCAATTCTTCAATTTTCTTCCGCTTTTTAATTTTGCTGTATTCGCCTTTTTGAGTTCTCGATTTTTTACTTTTTGAATTTTTCGATTTTTGATTTCTCGGGTTTTCGATTTTTCGACTTTTAAATTTTTGGATTTTTGAATTCTTGAATTTTTCAATCGTTTGATGTTCCGATTTCTCTATTTTCAATTTTTGGTTATCCTAATTTATCAAGTTATTAAATTATAGAGTTCCCGATTTTTAGATTGTTAGATTTTTAAATTGTTCGATTTTTTTTTATTTCAAATTTTTCAATTCTTAACTTTCGATTGCGATTTTGGCCTATTTCGATTTCCCAATTCTTCCATTGTCCAATTTTTCAGTTCAATTTCACGAGTTTTCAAATTTTCCATTCTTCAATTTTTCGACGTTTGAAATTTTAGATTTATCAATTCAATTTTTCGATTTTTTGGTGTTTCGATTTCGTGACTTCTCGGTTATACATTTTTCCACTTTTCAATTCGATTTTTTTTATGTGAAACTTTTATATTCTTAATTTTCCAATTTTTCAATAATCCAATTTTTCGTCGTTTGAGCTTTGGAATGATTCAGTTTCTCGATTTTTCAATTTTCGAATTTTAAATTTATCAATTTTTCGATTTTTTGATGTGTCGAATTTTTAAGTTTTCGATTTTTCAGTTTTTTGATGTTACCATTTCTCGATGTTTCAACTTCTCTTTTCGATTTTTACTTCCTGAGCGTATCGACTTTCTACTTTTATGTTTTCTCGACCTTTCATGGCCCCTAAAGTACGAAGAAATAGGTCCAGATTTTTTGAGAAAAAATCAAAATTATAAAACATTTTGCAATTTAGTTTTCAATCTGCAAAACCGAACGCTTTGAAATCTTGGAGATGTTTTAAAGTTATCATAAGCATGATAAATTTTTGATCAAAATATATTTACTCATTCTCCTTAAAAAACTTATGACGTAACCCCAAAATATTGTTGAATAAATTCTACCCAAAATATGATGAGTTTTTACTTATGATTTATCACTGCATTCATATTTTTTAGATTTGCCTAAACAGGTGCCTCAAAAAAATGACTAAATGAGTCAATTTATTTTATTGAATAAATCAGGGACGGCTCACTTCATTTTCCCAACAAATTTTGAGAATACAATAGTGTTATTTTTCAATTTCCATTTTACACTAAATAAAACAAGTCAGTCAAATGGAGAAAGGAGGTGGGTGGCTCTAAATTTACCTTTACTAGTTTTATGAGCAAGTTTTAGCCCCGCCCACCCGCCCTATTTTCTTAGGGGGTACGTCATTTGGCACAATCAATCTTATCTACCTACACTGCACTAATCCATTTTCGATTCAATTTGTTTTTTCTTCTTTCCAATTTTTCGATTCATTAATTTATATAATATATAATTAGTATCAAAGAAGCACTAAATATACGTTCATTTAACGTGGGTTTAACGTATGTTCACTGACGTTCTCGACTGGTGACTAATACACGTCGAATTTACGTTGATTTTAAAATGTTTTCCTTTCGCCTTGAATTGTGTAATATGTTAAAATATCGATAATACTTTTCCACGTATTTATTACATTTACAGGGAATCGCGCTGACATAAATTACGAAATAAAAAACAATAAATTTACTTGTTTTAAGGACGTTATTTATTCTAAGTTTACGACGTTGTTTACAAAATAAAACATATGTTAATTCACAATCTTAATTGACGAGCCGATTAAGCCGGATTTACGTTTATTTTGAAACGATTTAAATTATTTTGATCAAGTCGGCCAAATTAAAGTTAAAACTGTGGATAAAACGTAGCGTTGTTTTTACGTTTACGTACAACGTAGGTTATAGAGAGATTATGAAATTAATAAAAATAAATTTACTTGTTTTAATTTGTTGTTTGTAAAGTGAGTGGATTACGTTGAATTTATGTTTATTTAATAATAATGAGTTGATTTTCGCGTTGTCTTATAGCCACATTCAGTTATTCAGCCGGATTATTTCTAATCTTATCGCATTTTGTGACGATTAAGTAACACAGTGGAGTCAGGTGTCAGATACAACAAAAATTATTTTCGTCGTGGAAACAGTTGAGTTTGAGTGAACCTCAAATATTCCTTGCTTTATCGAACTGACCAGAAATTGATCGGGTAGTATCTAGGCCGCGGTGCATTTTTCATGATCGTGTGGGTCGGTAAATAAACGGATGCATTACCTCTCCATTATTTACGATAATGAAAGTTATTAACATAGGACAATCTCTTCGTACGGCATACGAAATCTCCAACTATAAAATTTCAATTTCGTGGACTTTTGGCTTGCCGTAATTGTATTTGCACGTTTATGGTCGAAGA